ACAGTTTAAAAAATTAAACTGCATTCCAAAAGTCAGACTTGCATCCAGCTAGGATTGCTCTGAAGACATCTACACGAGGGATGATAAGATTCCACATCAAAATATAGAGTTACTGGCTCTTACTAATCCAGCTCCAGTTTAAAATTTTTTCAATTTCATTGCTAAATGCACTTCAAATAAAGTATTTTTTGCTATTACCCAAGCATGTAGGAGCTGAAGTCCAGTTTCCCATAGAACAAGTTATCTCTGATGATCCATCTAACATGTATCCAGAACGAGAAACATACTTAAATTTAGCACCAGCCAGATAAATTGTTTTCCCTTCTTTTATAATTTTTAGGTTTTGATTTTCCAGCTTGGGAACATCAGCACATTCTACAGGTTGTGGTGGCAAACATGGTTTTTCTAAAAAATACAGAAAACACAGATAAGTAATAGTGGAAGACAATTAATATTCCAATGACATATGCCATCTAAAACTGAAAAGAAAAAAAAAAAATCATCCAAGCATAAATAAATGGCTTGAAAGGAAGATGAAGGAATATCTAAGACACACAAAGCAAAACTCCTCTCTCATTTCTCACCTATATGGGGTTTCTCTCTTTGCTTTTGAAGAAAATTAAAGATGTTTTCCAGTTCATACCAAGGAAATATAGTTACAGCTTAGCATCAAGAACAGGGAAAATTTCATAGGCAGAGAAATAGAAGGAACATTATCTTGTTTTGGGATATTGAAAGTGAGTTTCTAGCATGTTGGCTGTTAAATTTTTCCACCATTAATAAAGGTGTACCAATACCCTGAGTGGTTTTGTGATGATGTAACAAAAATGAAAAAGAGAACAGAACTTACTACCTGATACATACAATGGATTAAATCTCTATGAAGCCCTCTGAGTCAGTGCTGTCCCAATGCTTTTTTCTCCTATACTAGTGTAGAGTGGGTGGACTTAAATTGTATTTCATATGCATTTTTAGTTATTAGTAAATTAGGTTTTATCAGTTGACACATCCAGTTTGTGGGCATATGTTTGCACTGAGTTCCACAATACAAACAATCTAATTACAGTCAAAGGTCCTGCTCAGGAACTGGGACTGGGAATTTTATTTCAGTAAAAGTTCTTTTATGAATAGCTCCAACATTTTTTGGTTATTCCTCTCTATGTCTGCCACTTATCAGCAGAAATGGAGACTCACAGGCAATGCAAAAGAAGAGAAACCATGCAGCATGAGAACCTTGCAGCTAAGAAATACAGCCATGGTTGGCATGTTGTGTGTGTCAGTCACCAGCTGGCACCTCGTTTTTCCTGTGCTCATCTACCTCCTATTCAGTTCTGAAAACACTTTATTCTACCTCTTAATGAACTTCTGCTTACAAGATATCACCTGCATCTGTAATAACTTAACAATTGGATTACAGATTCCTCAGCATTTCTTAGAATAGATGGCCTGAATTATGCCATATCATTTATACTCCTATTATAGGAAGAAGCCACAGAAAGGAGAAAAATCAAGAAAGGATAAAAATTATAAAAACCCAAAGATTGTTACTACTACAATGAAACAATAAATAATACTGTTTTTTTTCATCAGCATACTATTAAGGCCCCCAGTCAAAACCAAAACTTTGTTCTGCAATTATACAATCAAATAAACACACAGCTCTTGAAAAACTACCTGAAAGTTTTAAATGCCATGTTAGATATGTCTGTGTAAATAAAAAGACTTACTGTCTAGCACTTGATTAACTGCACTTTCATAAGCAACTTACATTCTATTGCTTTTCTGCAGTTACCTGTTCATAATAAACTTACCGTGAACAATATCGTCCTCCGGCTAATGATGACTGCAAATGCATGACACAGAAATTAATAATAAAATAAATAGAAAAAAATAATCCACTACTGACCCACGCAGTGAGGTGGTGATTGCCATTTCCCTTTTATACATGTTATTTCATTCGCACCGATGAGCTGGAAACTCTCCAGACATGAAAAAGTTATTTTACTCCCATGCTTGTAGTTTCTTCCAACTGTTATCTGTTGAGCACCAGGCAGCTGAGGTGGAGATGGACATGTACTCTCTTCAGCTAAGGACACATATTATGATAGAACATAAGATAAAGCGTAACAGTTCATAACAGATTACATCAAGAGCAACCAAGAAAACACCAGTGTTAGATAACTCTTCAGTAGCTATCTCAAGCTTTAATTAATATCATCATCATTTTGTTCCGCTTCAGAAACACAAGAGCTGCCTTCAGATGCTCCTATGCTTTCAACCTCATAGAAAAGATAGTCACAGTTGCCTACACCAATTTAAGCTGGAGCTTCTTGTAGTCCCTCCTTACCCTTACACACAGCTGCACACTCCTGTGTGCTCTCCCCATTCCTCTCTCTATGGTGAACTACTTTAGGAAAACTGGACCAACTTCTGGTATTCTTGTTTTGTTTTGTTTTGTTGTTATTTTTTTCTTCAGACCTAGCTGATAACAGAGCTAAATGAGAATCACAAAAGGAAACAAGTAAACTTCAATTTTGCTGCTCAAGGAATGAAGGCCTGCTCCTGACAAAGGAAAGAAAAAGGGGGCAAGGAGGTAGATCTAGGAAGGAGGAGACCTCAAGAGCTTGGTTTGTTGCTTCTAGTGGTTCCAGAAAACTCAGAAAGTAGGGCAATTGGTTTTGAATGGGAATGCTCCCTCAACTGATTGCCACTCTGTGTACTTCTCCCACTTCCATGCATCATTTCCCATGAATCTGGAATAATCAAAGCAGGCAATGAGATGATGACTGTTTTACAATCATGCCTTCTCAGGCAATATCCTGCTTTGCTATACATAAAGACAGCCAGTCCTGCAGGCTGCCGCCTTTGGTGTGTATTACATAAGGGCAGTCTCCTCCAGGCCCGTGTTTTTGAATTGGCCGACTCAGGTTTTTTCTTGTTGTTTCACTAGGAAGCAATTGAAAAAAATAGAAGGAGAAAAAAGAAAAATCAGGAAAAAAATGGTTTTGAATTATTTACAAGAAATAAAGGAACTTTGGCTGGAGTTTGAGCTATGTACTACTCTAATTTGCACCAGGATAAAACCCTTTTGAAGAACCAAGCTTAAATTTATCATCGCATCTTTTCTCACATCAGAAGTGACAGTGACAACTGTTCCAGTCAATCATCAGAGTAGAGGTTATTAAGCTTGCCTCACTAAAATAGTGCATCTCTAAACCTAGTTAAAACTGCTCAATTGATTCCCATAATTATTCATGACAGTCCTTTAGCATAGAATTCTGTAAGCATATATATAAGCATGTAAGCATTTCTATTAATGAGCATCTACCATTCCTACATAAAAAGAAGAAATTGTATGCAAATCTAAAAACATACCTGTACATACAATCTCTGGTGACCATTTTCCAGACACACAAGTTGCCTTTTTAATATTTTTGTCAGCTGATGTACATATATAACGTATAACTCCATGGAACCCAGTCTCCTTATTTGGCTTGGGAAGACGACCACTGTGCACAAGCTCAACATTCACTGGAATTGCACACTGGGGAGATGGATCTGAAAAGTATCAACAAGGAGAGCTAAAAAACAGATTTAGTTCAGATAATACATACGTATGCATTCACCGATGAAGAGGTCATCAGTTTCCTAACGTATGTCCCTGTGAAAGTGGTTTTTTATTTACTGTAGTTCAAAGTAACTCCTGAGATTCCTAAATTACAGAAACAGAATGATTTTTTGTTCCAGCTATCTAAAGCAGAAACTGTTCCCACTCACAAAGCAATTATTTTTGTGTTGGCAGGACCCCTTTTCCTGAGTGCAGTAAATAATATAAAAACTAAGCATTCTTTTCTTCACTAAAGCTATAAAAAGGTAGCAAGATGAGAAACCCTTTGCTTGTAGAAAAAGGAGCGTAAAGGTAGTATTACTCCACACTGAATATGTATCAGGTATCAATCTCCTGTGGAAGTATATCTAAGTCATAACCAAGTCTTGTGTCTTTGACTGGTGATTCTGAGAGTTGGAACACAAGCTACTTGTGAAAGTCAAGCTGACTGTGTTTTGTGCCAGATTCAATCTTCAACATAATTGCAAATAAAAGTACAGTGTACTCAAATCACTGATGAACAGAAAATCACTTCTGAAAAAAAGGGGGAACCAAGAATTGGATATTTTGTTAAAGATAAGTGAAGCACTGGCGTAATTTCTCCCAGACAAGACTACTTCTTGTTCAGTATTGTTTTTTTTCTGAAATGACTGACTCCAATGTATTTTTTTTCTTTTTCTTAGGAAAAGGCTTTGTTTTACATCTTTTTAAAAGACATTATTTTCATTCAATTTATGCACTGCAAAACTAAGTGTGAAGGTGAGAAAAAAGAGAAAACTGCTAGTCAGAAATGAAAAGGACTAATCTACATAAAAATGGTGAGGATGGGATAAGCCTAGCATATTGTGGCTATTGATATTATTTTTAAATCCCAGTAGAATTTTAAAAAAGCAAGGTAGTATACAGAGACATAAAACTACAAGTAATTAATGGAACAGGCACGCTACTTTATTACAGGTACCTCCTAAGGCTTCTGAAAGGTTGTTACCAGGGAGGAACACTGGAAAATGGGTAAAAACCACATACACCAAAGACGTACCCCCATATTTGATTTTACCCACTCTGCAAGTGTTCATTTCCTTCCCCAAACCTACCCAGAGTGCTTACAAAAGTTGTAGGTGCAGCATCTTTCCAGGATGAAAGACATGTTCACATTTTGAAGAGGAGTAAGTAAAAAAAAACTTAGTTGAGATGCATGAAACTATAGTATCTCTGGCTACATGTTGATTGCTGAAGTCCTTGAAATTTTTAATAGACCTATGTTACACTCACATCTGAAATATTATGGAAATATTATGGAAATAGATTACCGGCACAAAGAGGTAAAGGTTTCCATTCCCCATTAAGACATTTTATTTTCATTTCCTTAGACTTGCCAGAGCCTTGTTTACATCCACAAATTACTTCATCACCATGTGAAAACTGGGTCTGGTCTTTCTGATGAACAACAACATTTGGAATTGAGGAAGGTGATTCACATGGCATTTTGTCTTCTGTTGAAAAGAGCAGTATTCCACAATAATATTGGTGTCATATATGAATAGCTGAAAGAACTTAAATAAAAATAACTATATTTGCATTTGGTGAGGCAAACCTTCTCCTATTAATTGTAATAACTAAACTTCAACATAGCTGGAGTATGTATATCTTTTAGTCAGTTTACTGAATCCCTCTCCTGTCTTTTCCCTTCCTTTTCCATCACAGTGGTAACTCCACAGCATGCTCCACAAGTAGTTTCAGCTAACATTAATTTCCTAACCTGTTTCTTATTGGTACATAAACCCTGAAGTCTAAGGAAACCTTCAATTAATCCAACTCATCTGGATCCCTGAGTGGGATCAATCCAACTCACCTGGGTCCCTGATTCCAGTCAGTCAAAATTATATTTGATTATATGCCTACACATTTGTAATGTGCACCTTAAGTTAGTATTATTGCAAGAACTGAAAGCTATTGTAACATCACTTAGAGGGCTGTACCACTGTCACCTCTGTGTGATAACAGCAGTTCCTGCTTTGGGCTGTCACTGTTGCAGTGGTAGTGACAGCAAAGTGTAATGGCTTGCATAGGTAAGTGCAGCGTGTCAGTAGGTTTTTTTGAAGGAGGAAAAAGGTATGTAAGGGGAATAAGGGCATATGGCCTGCTCTTAATGTGGGAGAGGGAAGATCCATGATAAACTCAAAAACTGAATTTGAACAACCCTGCACTCAGGTTTGGACTACTCTTCTTTCAAGCCTGTGCACTGAAATGTTTCTCACTGGATCAAAGATTAAAAAGATGCAAGCACCATGCTGTACATTTTTAAACCATCAGTGCTGCTAATGGAAGACATGTCAAAATGTGTATGTACAGAGACAGAGTAAACCAATCTATAAAAAATGACCATTTATTGGTTTTGCGGTTAGATCATCCTGCGCCATAAGAACGCCCTGAATTGTTTTTTGTACTTAGAGATTTTCAGCTTGAATATTCCATTCTAATTCAATTCTGAGACGCTGTCTTAACAAGCAAATAGTAGTTTTGCACAAGCATGTTTTAACTCCTGTCATTGACATTCATACTCTCAGGTTTGAGGTACCTAATGACATGCACAGAAAATGGGTACTTATGTTTAGGCAGACTTGACTGTAGAACTATTCACCATTTCAATATCAGGACTATAAAAAATAGTCAGACATGTGACTCTAGCCTAGGGAAGACAGCAACATACATAATGCATTCACAGTCTTCATGTTCGTAGTCCTGTGCCCCAGTAACATATGGCATTACCATTGCTAGAAAAAGGCCACAGACTTTGTACTGAGCTTGCAAGCCGTCAGGATGGAGGCTTATCAGGCTTACTCTGTCAGAACCTGTCCTGACCTGCCTGGAGGCTTGATTTTACTTATTTTATCTGTAACAGCAATTTTTCTAGCAACAAGGCTATAGTTAATTTATTTTACTTTTGGTTAGCTCTGTATGGGACAACCATAGTTTTATACACATAGTAGTAACAAGTTTTTAATCTCTGTAGAGTAATTATTACTCTAATAATGTGGGTGAACATAGGGCTGGTATGATAACAGAGACATTGAGAAATGAGGACAAAGGATGGGTGTGGCAGAGTAGAGACATGGGATGGTAAGAGACAGAGCATAGCCTTGGCACTCCAAGACTATGAATAGCTCACAAAAGGCCAGCTTCGACCTGGAGCTGATCAAAACTGGTTTTAGGGGTAATATAAAGAACAAATATCTAACATATTTAAAATACACTTAACATATCTAATTCAGAACTTGTAGACCAGTGAAAAAAGGGCAAGGCATAAAAGCATGCTAGCAAACCTAAAAATCACCCCAAGCATCCTGTAAAGAGGAAGAGGAAATCATCAGCATCAACATCTTATTCCTCCAGTGAATGACTTGAGATACTGGTAATGTGCTGCAGCTTCCCTCCAAAACACACCAGACTGAAGCTATTGACTTTAGGACCCAAAGGGGCAGCGGAAGGGTAAGCATAACACCAGAAAAAGGATTAAATAAGAGAAAGTGTGTGTATAACAATTATAATTATATATTATAAATTATTTGTATTACTTATTCAGTATTATTTATACATTTATAATTATTATTTATATATTATGTATTTATTTTATTTCTCTTTCAATCATTTCAATCATTTGATCTGGACTCACAACAACTCTTTGATTGGACTGTTAAGATTTCAATTATGCTAATAATAAAGTTTTAGATTCACATATAGTGTGTGTTTACTTTTTATCCATAAGATTTTGAACATAACATGTTATATGTGCAAATGTGTAATTTTAATTGTGAAAATATCTGTGAAGTATTACCCTACAGTGAATTATAGACTTCTCATGAGTAGGAGTTATATAGATTACCAATGCAAGATGGAGGAGATGACCACTGTCCATCAACGCATTCTATTTCCTTTGATCCAACCAATTTAAATTCGATGTTGCATTCATATTGCTTTCTGTCCCCATGCTGATACCATTCCACAGAGCCACCAGCAATACTTCCATTGGTAATCCCAGGTGGAGGTCCACAGCCTCTGGCATTCACTGAAATCAAGACATCAAAGTTATGCTCTGAACTCAGTACTTTTAGCACAGGTATAGGTTAAGTGCAACACAAAATAAATTGAATTTGTTGTTTAAAGCTAAGAAAAGCCAACAGAACAGGTTAAACAGGTCATTGGTTTATGCCTTTGAATATCTGGATTCATGTTGGGCTGGAGATCACAAGCAGATATGCATGACCCTGGCTTACTCTACTCTTTTACTTCCATGCACTATCAATTGTTTGCGATGATAAAAGAAGTGGTTGACAAAACCAACCTTGTTTTAAGAGAAAAATAGTATTACATGGATGACAACTTCAGTATTCTTAAAAAAAAAAAAAAAGGGAAAATTTTGCAAGTAATAATAACCTATGTTATAAAAATCACCCAGCAAGTGATTTGTACTGTATATTAAAGGAATTAACTTCTGATGGAATGAATGGAACTCCTGTTAAGGGAGCTTAAAATGTTCCTAAGCTAAAAAGCCAACTATATGAAATATAATTGTTTTTAAATGCAAAAGAGAGTGAGCAAAATGAAGGATGAAAACGTGGAAGACCAGAAGAAAATTGATCAAGTGGGAAGGAATGGAGATGAGAAATATGAGATCCCTTCATCCTGTCAAGCTGCCTCATGAAATGGCATAACACCAGCAAAAGAATCTCTTTTCAGATGCCACTAAGTTGTGCTCTGTCCTAAAAAGGATGAGAAGAATAGGGGCATATATCTTCCGTTCTACATGGGTTTGTTCATCCTGCTGGATGAAGCTGAGGACTTTCACAGGGAAAACCCTTCATTGAGTTTCTTTTTCCTGGGGCCAGCTCCTTGTCATCTCCAAACCAGCTTTTTTTACTTCAATATCATGTGATCAGAAAAAGGACGACAAGATATAATATCTGATGGGTATCAACATTAGGTAGGGGCAAAACTTAGGACATTTAGGATACAGCAAGAAAGGACATTACTCAAATTAATCACACCTGGCTGCCATATTTATGCAAAGTATTTATGCCTTTTGGAATAATACAAAATTTTTCATACTGGTGAAATTTTGCATAAGCCATTTACCAGCTCACTTTCAGTTATTGCATAACTCCAATTGGGATAACTAAAGCTAAGAGAATGTTCAACACTGAAAGTTCAACTGTTCAGGATCTTTCCCATAAAATAGCAAAACACTATGAAATGATTCAAAGAGGACCATTTGCTGCCCTTTTAGAGACAAAGGTGGGATAATTGTTCTTGGGAGCCAGGCTAGCTTATAGAAGGTGTCCACAGAAGTCTTCAGGACCACAGCATTTTCATCTATTTCCTACTACAATAAAGTTAATAGAAGAATTACCTTTACACGCTGGTGGTGGTGGAAACCATCCAAAGTAATAGCACTGAGTAGAGGCAGGTCCCACTCTCACGTAATTGTTTGCACAGGTAAATTTCACAACATCTCCATTGTGGTATTTACCCTCCTTGGGAGAAAAATCTCCATTGGGCAATGTCAGCATTTCACATTCTATTGCTGTAAAGACAAAATATTTTAACATATAGTGTACATCCTACAACAAGTACATGAAATACTAATGATTAGTACAAAATCAAAGAAAGTCTTAAAGAAAGAACCTTCACAAAGTGTATACAGAGTTACACTGATTAGCAAACACAACAATAGTCACCAAGACACTGGGGCGTCGGACTCCATTCACCATTTATGCTACACGTTGTGGTACCAGTTGGCATATTATTTGCAGTTTGATATCCCTCCAAACATGCATACTCAATTGTATCTTCAGGCATGAACATAGTTTTGTTTGCGTGGTAAGGCAGAATATCCAAATGAGTTATTTTACATGATTCTGTAGAATAAAACAAAGTCAGTGCATTTTGTGATCCAGAAACATTGTCCTTTGGAATCATCATTTCTGTAGGTGCTTTAGGGTGTGCTAGTCTACTGAACTACTCAGTATATTTGAAACATTAAAAATTCTGCATTGTCAGAATATGAATGTAGAATATCATATGTAGCATATTCACATAATATCTATTGCATCAATCTTCAGAAATATGTGGATAAAAGTAATATCTAGCATAAATATTTCTTCGTAAGATTCAGTTCCTTTCCTTCTACTATGTATTATTATTATTGGTGTTGCAGCAGTTTGTACTCCTGTTACCCATGGTCATTTGTGAGGGCATCAGTAAAAAAGCCACAAAATTCTAGTTAAAGGCAGTCTGAAATAAAATGACAAGATAAAATATCAACTAAAATTGGTCAATGTTACAAGCCTCGGTACCATAACACTGGAATACTAAGTCTCTTCTTTTACTATCCTACACCCCTGTTCAGGAGAGGAAAGAACTTGTAAGAGGAAAAAAGCAACAACAGTTTGGAGGTATTTTCAGCAAAAATCACTCTGGTGTTTTTCACAAATGTACTTTTTCACACCAGGGCAGATATATGCATAGTGCTTTTTATACACAGACACAACATCTTTCCAAATGATGAATTCTATTTTTTCTCTAGTTTGGTCACATTTAAAGAAAGTTCTTGGCAGAATCCTTTGGTTCACAGGCATTTTTTCATATATCTTCCCTCACAAATGTGAAAGGTGGGAGAATTGGGAGTAAATTTGGGCATATATACCTTGTATCAGGTAAGAAGATACAGAAGTACAGGAGAATTCAGTGATTACCATCGACTTCGTCCTAGAGGTCCAAAAAGATAGCTCACCTAGACGACAGTAGATATTTTCCTGCCTTACTCACTTCCTTTATGTTTTCTCTCTGCATTTCTTGGAGCCCCAGAAAGAGTAATCTCTGGAGGATCAGTCCTCTATTTGAGTCTCTCTCTGCCCAGTGAGAAAACTCTACCAATCTAGATGACAAAAATCTGAGTACATAGGACATCGTGTCTGTCCCAATGACAATGATAGGGAGTTCTGAAGCCTTTTTGCTACTCACTGATGCACTTTGGAAGTGGAGTCCAGCCATTCTCTTGACAATGTATTATTCCTGTTTCTTGTCCTTCTGGAGTTACAAAGCCAGTACGACAACGATAGGTGACCTCCTCCTGTAAATGAAATGTTTCCTTTCCCGAGGTGAAATAACCATTGTGAAAATTGATGTTCTGGCATTTTTCTGAAGGAGATAAACAGAATTTCTTCAAAGTAAAACACTGCTAAACTACATGCTTATACTACACAGAAGAAGGAGCACAAATGAAACAGCAGTAGGATTTACAACATTTTTAATAGCACATGAATTTTTACTTCTGCATTAAGCTCTCTTCCTGGGGGACAACTGGAAAGTGAAAAGTCAAAGTTCACAGTTACCAACTCACATAGCACAAACAGGGATGGACAGGGGTTTGATTTGCAGCAATCCTGTAAAGCTTCCAAAATTGTATGTCCACATCTGGTCTTCACTAGAAATTAAATTCATGTTGGGCATGCATAGCACTGTGCATGCATAAAGAGGACCTTCTGTCCATATTGCAAGGGGGGGCATGCCAGAGATCACAGAATCATTAAGGTCGGAGAAGACCTTTAAGATCATCAAGTCCAACCATCAACTCAACAACACCATGCCCACTAAACCATGTCCCGAAGTGCCATGTCTACATGTTTTTTTGAACACTTCCAGTGATGGTGACTCCACCACCTCCCTGGGCAGCCTGTTCAAATGCTTGACCAGATCACCACAGTGTGCAGGTACCACCTCTACCAAAGAGAAATTATTCAGAGTGCACATACTGTAGGACTAAAGCAAATTTGTATCAAAGGATCCCTTCTTGTATACTAAAACGGTAGTGCAGACAAACCCAATGTTGTAACTGATTTCACATCACTTGGAATACATTGTTTAAGCCAGTCTAAAGAAATGGAAATCAGTCATCTTGGCTGGATGTTATGGTCTTGCATTCTGAAAGAAAACTTCTGTAGTATGCTAAATTCTTTACTAATAAACTCTTCTGTGAAGAAGTTTCTTCATTTTAAGAAATTGACACTATAACAAATAGAAATATTTGTGCATTAGAGAGTCAAGTAAATAAAGTTATGGAAAAAAAAAAGACAAGTGAGGAACACTAGTGGATGTATTTGAATGTTGGGAGCAGAGTTAATGATACCTTCATGCAACAGCTTCAAAAGTTTAAACTTCACATCAAATTTTTCGGTGTTTATACCAGTAATGCCCAGGGTTGCCTAACACTACACATCATAAAATTTTATTTTGCTTGCTCATTGCTATGTCAAAATCTTAGTGGGTGGCAGTCCAAAACTATGGTTGGTGTCTCTGTCAGAGTAAAATTGTTTCCTAAAAAAATATTTTTTACAATCTAAGAAAAGTTAGGCTGAATTATGTCTTTTGTCTATATGAAATAATTATCTGAAGTATTTAAAGTTCCTGTGAGACATTCTAGCAATTTCAGGCTTGCTGCAAGTCAGGCACAAAAGCTGGAAACAGAGTTAGGAGAGGTAACCTCCTTACTCCACCTCCCATCTAGTATGAAGCCAGCTGGAAAGGAAGCAAGAGAAACAGGCATCAGGTGGCATAGTGAGAGGCTGAAAGGAGACAAGAAATTGCATGAGCCATTTGAGAAAATCACAGCATTGTGTTTTGGTTGTAGAGCACCTAGACTTAGATTTACTAAGTGCTAGTGGTGGATTAATGTAGGTGATGTGATGATGGATTTACTGGTTTTAGCTAGAAACCTCAACAAAATACAAGCACACTCACTTTTACGGATGCATCTTGGAGGAGGTGACCAGTCGTCCTTTGTGCATGTGACTTCCCCATCTTCATGTTCAGTATGATAGTCATCATTGCAGACATATTTAACTCTTTCGCCTTCCTTGTAAACATTCTTCTGGCTATGTGAGAAATAACCATTTTCCAGCTCTCTGACATGACATTTTTCTAAAGAACGAAGGCAAGTACATTTAACCACAGTAATCTGTACAGCAAGAACTGAAGTAAATTAATTCTTAGGAAGACAGTTACTAAAAAAGGGCCTCCTAGCATCTTTCTGTAGCCTTCTGTTCCAAAAAGACATTCATGTTCAAACCTGAATGAAAACATGTTTTGTTTCACTGCCTTAAGATTAATGAACCACATGAACAGGAGTGCAAGTCACTACATAAAGAAGTGCTAAGAAGTGGTCTAGTAAACAATATTGCTTACCTAGTGTTCATAAGCAAGGTTGGCTAACTTCAGCACATCTAGTGTCTTGTACAGCCGCTCTGGTTTGGTCTGCTATGTCTCTAAAATACTGATGTCTGCCCTGAGTGATTTTCAGCATTTGCCTCCAGGAGATTTTATCATCTCTGCAAATGTATCAGCCTCTCGAACCAGCTCTAGAGATTTTAGCAACAGCTAAGCATGCTGGCTTTAGAGCATCCTGTGCCCCAAAGAGCCCAGACACAAGGAAGATGACTGAAGGAATGCTATAACCATGTTACTTGAGTAACTGGTCTTTTCCTCTGGGCAGGACTCCAGGCATTTCCTGCACTGAGCACCACTCGACTGAGGGCAACAGGGAAAGATCATCCTTTTGTAACCCACTTCCAAACCCTATCAGTAGGTAGGAACTTTACTGTGACTGAAGATGTGTGTTAGGAGAGGAAGCCTCAGCTTGCTGCTTTAAATCTATTTTCTATATTTCAACCATTAAGTCAGTGTATCTGAATCTCTTGCTGATGCCATGCTCACTTTCAGTTTATTGCAAGAGTGTACCAAGTTGTCAGCTCCAAATGCTATCCAAAGGGACCACACAATAGATCTCAGAGAGTAACCTCTAAACAAAGTGCCCAAGCCACTGAAGGAAGAATATATTTACATAGAGTATAAATGCTCTGTTTCTGTGTGCAGCTGTGTGTGCAGATGAAAGTAGATCCATGCACATGACCATAATAAGCCAGATGAGAGAAACATTTCCTATGCATTTCTTAATCTCATGGATAGTTTCAGGAGTAAAAAATCTCCAAAATCCAAAATCATTGTTTCAGCCTTACTCACTTCAGAGAGTCACATACCAGATGACAGTTTGAGCTCTGCAGATAGGATAACAGCCTGGGTGCAGTTCCAGGGGTCAACTAAAGCAGTTCTACTTTAACAAACTGTTCTTTGATCCGTTTTGTGCTCCATTGGCACAATTTCTTTGCACAGACCTTTGGTAATTACAATAGAATTGAGCATATTGTGCAAATGTACTTACTGAGGCATTTTGGCTCTGGAGACCAGCCCCTTTCAGAACAGACCATTTGAACCCAGTATTCTCCACTCGGAGTTGAATAACCATTATTGCAGTGGTAATCAGCGTGCTGCCCAAACCTCATTGGAAAGTAATAGTTTTTGTAGTACTCCAGTCCTCCACTTAACTTGCCATTTTCTATAGCTGGGTAGTCACACGGTTTCTCTTGAAATAGAATTTAACAGCAACAGTATCAAAACATGCATGACAAAAAGCTCAGGACACAATTCAGGTTCAGCTTCATCATCTGGGTGCTTTCTGAAGCTGACACAATCAGGACTGCACACCTTGGCAGAGCCAAAAGAGTGCAAGAACAATCACACTCTGCTTCTGCTGTCTTTGTCATTACCTATACCTATGTTGGTTCCTTCTGTTTCATTGCAACCCACAGAAAGCCAGTCAATATTCTCAGTGGAGTCTATAGGCTGATTCATGAGACCAAATGTAAGTATTTATTCTACAGTGAGATGACATTGTCTTTGTAGAATGTCTCAACTAAATTTACTATACTGACCATGATGGGAGCTCAGACAGCTAGCTCAGATATAGACACTGAATTGTGGATTGTTAAAATTGAGGTGACTCCTGTCACCATTTCAATTTGTAACTTTTCAGATCCTGCACCAAAAGCTCTTCCTAGCTCTTCTCATTTTTATTTTGAAACTGTGGTGTTTTTCTTTTGTTCTCTCAGCTCCTCAAAAGAACTGACCCTTTTCAGGGACAAACCAAGAATAGAAGTAGGAGATTCCCAGAAACTTTCATTCAAGTTTACCCAGTGTCCTACTTGGCCATGGCAGCTAGGTTCCTCCTGAAGTGCTCTGACCCATGACCACTGCCTACCTGCTGAGCCAGGGGAGACCACCCACTGGACAAACCCTTCAATAATGAGTGAAGTGGTCTCAGAATGATACCTAAATTTTAGAACTCACGCACATATAGAGAAAAGATTAATACAGATATTGACAGTGTACTTTTCAGGAACAGTTCAAATTACCTAAAGGTTCATTTACAAGACTGTATTCATCAGGGTTTCTCTCACATTCTGTTTTCTAAGTTTTTTTTTTATTTTCAGTGACCAAATATCAAAGAGTGCTAGATTATGAAATTAATTGCTAATTTATTTGTTTGTTTGTTTGTTAATACTGTGCCCACTGAGCAGAACTATCACTGTAGTTATGGGAAGTTTAAGCCAAGAAAGAAACCATCAACAATCAAGAATATCTTTTTTTGTTATTTGACAGGTTATAATAGGTAGAATAAAACTGTGATTGTTCATAATATACCAACATACAACTGCAAGTGAAAATCTAAAGCTGAGATAACTACGATGAAAGATACCTTCCAACCATTGCCTATGTTTTATTTGGATACTTTAATACTCCCTATGAACTCTTATATTGGCTGGCATCTGAGTCCTCAGGTGAACCACAAACCTTCCTGACAGGGAGCTGACTATAGCACATTTTAACACATACTTTCACAAATACAGTAATAGATAATACCTGTGTTTATAAACATAATGTAAATTTTGTTTAAAAATTTTTTAAACAAAAAATTTTTTTTGATTTTTCCAAAACATCAAATTTTTTTTTGATTTTTCCAAACCATCAAATTAAGCTTTATATCACCAAGAAACACAGTGGATAACCAACTCTAATTTCTCACACTTCTTAAGTTTTTCTCTTGACCTCTTTTTCACTGAGATATTTCCAACAACTCTCTGTGTTGTATCTTCATTCATGAGAGCTACTTACGGACACAACCTGGATCAGGCACCCAGCCATTCTTGGTGCATTCCGATGTGCTTTTGCCAGTCAATGTTTTAAAATGATATCCAGGATTACACTGTATTGTGATTTTATCACCTTCTATATAGTTGTCTTCTTGAGGTCTGAAGTCCCCGTTGGGAATTCTCGGAGGAGAGCATACAACTTCTAAATAAAAAGAGAAAAATCAGATGCCAATTTGAAGAATATGTTTGTATTAATTGCATAAGTTCTTATTTTCATAGTATATTGACTATAACTGCGTAAAATTGTTAAAAAGATGTTTCTTAGGGCAAAGAAAAGGTCACATTCCTTTTCCTCTCTTAGAAACGTACAGTTCTGTGAGAGTGACAGCTGTTACCGATGTCATGTTAATTAGAATATTAAAACTTAATTGCAAACAGAATGGTTGGAGCAAGAACTAGAGGTGATCAAACTGAATTTGACTAATCTTTGCATCTTGACTAAACTAGGTCACTCCACAGCAGGATCTCCAGATGACCTATGCTGGGCTCACTCACAGCTCTCCTGGGCTGGTTTATAGACACTGTCCCAAAGGAGGGCAGGTTCACTGGCAGGTCCTAAATGGAGAAATAGCTATACTTAACTAGGAAAGGATCATTCAAAATCTGTGTGATTAAGATTAGTGAGAAAGGACAAGAATGCTATTCTAAAAAGCTCATGATATCTTTATGCTCAGAGAAGCCAGGCAAACATATTATTTATAAACCGCAGACTGTCTTTTGGGTTTCTTTGTATTCTACTTCCAACTCAGAAAATATCACCAACATACTCAGGGCTGGGAGTAAGTGACTATAAGGTAACTATAGGTTGGTGCTGCTGTGGAGTGAAGGTGGGCATATCAGCTGTGTGCATGTACTGCTGAATCATGTAGCTTCAGTGATAAGTCAAGTAGGATCCAGACCCACTATCTGAATACAACTCAAGTATCAGAACTCAGTATATCAGCATCTGGAAAAATATTTTGTTTGGCACTTTCCAAAAGCAGTATCTTGCTAAACTGTAGGCAATGCATATTAATTAGTATCACTACTAATCTTGAAATAGAAAAGTCAAGAACTGAGTGGGCACTAAGACCGACTACTCTCTATTTCTAAAGGAGTCTTTCTGGAAGAGGTCCCAGGAAGGTGGGTGGTACATAAGGTTCTACAATGTTGCCCTGTTGCCAACATATTTTTTTGAGTTTCAAGTGTTTGGCAATTTCTTGAAGACAATTCAAGGCGCTAATGATTTCCCCAAAATTTACATAAAACTATTTCAACTGGGACATAACATGCATATTTCTGGTTGTGGGATTTGGAGATTTAAATATAGTCTTTAAATGCTCTGGTTGAATGAAACTGAAGTAAAATCCATGACACAGAAGGCTGATGTCAAACAGGACTAGCCTCAGAAATTATGGATTTGTCATCTTAACTGTTCAGAAGGTATTTGGAAGTTAGAAAGCAGGAGGGAGTTTCAGCATTGGAAATATACTAATTTGTAGAGATCCTCAGACAATTTCTGATGGGAAGTTTGAACACCATGGATAATGTGAGTGTGCAATTACAGTTCTGATGACAAACAAATTGTTGTCTTCATCCTAGACTAAAGGTCATGGGCAGTGGCAGGTTTCATGCAGACCATGTTACTTTGGTCTCTGTTACTGAACTTCAAATCTATGTTGTACACAATTCTTGACATAATGGCTGTGTAGAAAGTGCTATTGTTTTCAGCTTTATGTATAATCCAGCCCTACAATTCCATTTTAATTTTCAGTTTACACACTTATGGCCATCAATGGACTATTCAACCTTCTGAATTTGTCTACTTCACTTTCCTTGAGTTCCTTTGGAAATTGCTATGTCAACTTCCTACAAGCACTATCTTACTATTTCAGAAGAACTCTTCAAAGGCAGTTTACAAACTTAAGCCAGGATTTTAATTTGAAAGATACTTTTGTAATTTCCAGTTATTTCTGAAATGTTGCACAGTACACTAACAATTTCTTACTGAAGTTCCATCAATGAAATAGGGATAATTTTTGAATTGTTCCTCTTTAGTTGGAACTGGTTGATCAGACTAGTAGTCTGAAAATTTAAAGAATGGATGTAATAACTAGCAACCAGGTGCTCTGTCTGCTCCAACTACAGTAAGACTCATCAGGACATTCAGACAAAATGCAGAGGACAGTTCAGTAGGACAGGCAAATGTCTATTATCTCAAATGTTCATACAGGTTGAGATGTTGAGTGGTATTTTACTGAGTACTCAGATGATTACAAGTAGCAGAGTCTTGGCTATGGTGACACAGCATCTCAGCTACTGAACACAGAAGACCTGAAAATACATTCATTTGTATTTCTCCCTCAAAGAACTGCTTGTGATTCATAAGTAGGTCATCAAGCTAAGACTGTTAGTTTTCCCCAATTTTATTCATACTGATGAAATTCATATGGTATTAGACAAATATTTCTTTACCCAGTCTTTCAACATACAGCACAGCCACTGACTTGTACCAGTTACATTCATGTTAAACACACTGAGACTTGATGTGAAGACAATAGGACTTCAACAACCATACCCCTTCTCTAAGAAGTTGGTTTCAAATGCTTATTTACCCATGCCATTAAAAATTTCAGATTCCATCTGTAGTTTGAAGTTCTCTGGTATTAATGCTTTTTTTTCCTGCTTGCTTAAATATTCTTTTTAGTGTCCGATGTTTCCATTCCTTAAATAAAATATTGTCATCGTATTTTGTAGAAGGAAAATATTGTCATCGTATTTTGTAGAAGGAAAAGAGGTTCAGCTTTATCCTTCCTATATGTCCAAATCAGGATTTTTTTCTAAGCCAAGAAATCTTTTTCCCATGTTCTCCCCACTAATTCAGAATCACATAAAAAAAAGAATAAAATAACAACAGCTACTAATGCTGCATGAAGTATTTTAGCAGCAGTGTCATTTATGCAGTATACTGGAGCACTTATTGCTTCATAGACCTCTAACTACACTCAAGTAACAGAAGACTGAATTAACCTTTTTTGCTACTGCTCTCCATGGAAAACTCTTATCCAGTTGTTTGGTCCCTTTAACACTTAATCTTTTCAGATCTTCATGGGATATTGGTCAGATGTGGATGGATTTCTTTTGTTATGAATAAACTAACTTTTGTCATTACTAATCTCTGAAATTACTTCCAAACACCACAAATGCGCAAAATAACTTTAGGCAAGGCTAACCAGTGCAATAGGGGGTTGGATTCCATCCTGATTCAGTACATTGTACATCTGCTCTTTCACCATATCTGTATCCTTCATCACAGACAAACTGTAGTTGTTCAGATTCCTTATAAGACCCCTTTGGAGAACGTACATATCCATGCAGAATTTTTGGCACATCACAGACAATCTCTGAAAATGAGAAAATAAAAAAAAATCATATATTTTTGTTTATTATTTCTTTGCTAGGACTAAATGCCTGCTGGAATAAAAATTAGGATTTTTTTCATTTAACTTGACAAAGACATATGCATTTGGAAACTGTTTGAAAATTATTTGAGAACTCTTCAATGACCTGATTGTGGGTGCCAGGTAGAAAGTGTGGTATAATACAGCATCAATAGCAAATTGGTTCATGAAGCAGGTTTTGTTCCCTAAGCCACAGACCAGGACACCAAAGAGTTCTCTTGGATTTGTTTGCTGGATTTACTTTGTATTTAGGATGAAGTGTTGCTCAGCAGAACTGTCATTGTTTAATAAAATTCACTATATTCTGCAAATGTTACAAGCACATGTGTTTAATCCCACTTTATGCTGTTCAAATTATAATAAATGGGGGTTTCAAAGCAGCAAAATGCAGCTCTGAAATTGTGAACAAACCATAAATGTATCTGACCTCCTGACATAGGTACTCTGTTCCTCTAAACACATACTTCTCAATCAGATAACATCTAAATAATCTAAGAAACTTGATGGACTGAATATTTAACAGTGATTGTTCCTGGGATTCATTCTTACATGCTGACAATACAATTCCATACAACGTCTATTTGCAAAATAGGAGGAATAACCCCATCCAAAAGTACAAACTGCAGGCGTGACAAGGTGTGGTTGACTGTCTGAAAATTAGTTTTGCAGAAAAAAACTTGGCAATCCTGATGGATAATTTGAACAGGCACCAGTGATGTGCCTTTGCAGCAAACAAAGAAAAGAGCATCCTGGACTCCATAAGGAGGAGTGTTGCCAGCACTGTGATCCTTCCCCTCTACTCAGCACTGGTCAGACCATGTCTGGAGTCCCGTGTCCAGGTCTGAGCTCCCCAATACAGGAAAGACATGGACATACTGGAGCAGGTCTAGTGAAGGGACATGAAGATACTTAAGGAATTGGAAAAACTGACAGATAAGAGAGGCTTAGAGAGTCTAGAGAAAAGAAGGCTTGGCAGGGAGGGAGGAGCTTAGTAATGTGTATATGTAGGAATTCCTGACTGTGGTGGGCCAGCAGAAATAAAGATGATGGAGCCAGATCCTTCTCACTGGCACCCAGTGACAAGATGAGAAGTAATCGGCACAAATTGAAATACAGGAAATACCACTTAAACAATAGGAAAAAACATTTTTACTTAAGGAGTGGTCAAACACTGGAATGGGCTACCCAGAGAGGCTGTGGAGTCTCCATCCTTGGAGATGTTCAAAAGCTGAGTGGATATGGTCTTGAGAAACTTGCCCTAGCTGACTGCTTTGAGGGACCTTCAGAGGTCCCTTCCAACATCACCTATTCTGTGATTCTGTAAAAACTAAACGTGAATTAACCTTCTTATGTGTTGAAACACATTAGTCTGAAGAAAGAAAAATCCATCATGATTTCTTTGTATTTTATATCACCTAAGAACATGAATGAACTAAAATCATACTTTTTTTTTAAACCTGGTTCACATAGGTTCAAAATTTTTTTGTAATTACTTTGGTTAAATCAACACTGAAGTGATTAAATCTTATGTAGACATACCAAAGCTAATTTCAGAGAAATTGACTGCAGCCTGGCAAAACATAGAGCTTGTAGTGAAAGTGTGGAAGAAAACAGATGGTCAATTATGAATATATTAGCATCCAATATTCTCTGATTTCTTTTTCTTATCCTACTTCTTCTGCGTATATGCAATGGAGATTGTTTACAGACAAACTATGCTTAATTGATATGGAATAAAGTGAAAAGTTTTGTAGTTTCCAATATGGTAACCAGTCCTTAGAAGTCTGTGAGAATAAAGCTTCTTAGTTACAGATAATAAATAGTGTTCTTTTTACCTTGGCACTGAGGCACATCGCTATTCCATTTTCCATTAGAAGAGCAAATTATTTCATTAGATCCAACAAGTCTGTATTTTGCATTACATTGAAAGTTTACAACCTGGCCAAAGGAATACTCTTGGCCTAGCTCAAACGCACCAGTCATAATTATTCTTCCATTTTCTGGTGCTTGTACAGGTAAACACTTTGCCACTGGAAAATAAAAGAAAACAAAATGAAAGGAAAAAAAAAAGCCACTTTGAGATCTATTCTGTAAAATAAACCGACACGCAAAAAACTTAAAATACAGGAAACTCACTGAAATTTCCTTACACCTTTTAAAAATATACACTCTTGTTATGTATGCAGATACCATTTGCAACAGATATAATACAAAACCCTAAGCAAAAAGACAAACTGACATAGGAGGAAGCTTGTAGACTGGCTCTCATCATCCTCTTCTCTGCCCTTGAAGGTTAAAGGCAGAGCATCCACTGAACTAGATGACCTCCTGAGGTCTTGCCCAATCTAAATTACCCTATGATCCTATGAAATCTATGGATGGTTAGATGAGCCTTGACTGACACATAGGGCCATTAAACTTTGTCAAAATATGTTAATTTCCTTTAGAGCTATGCCAAACTGAATTTGCTATAGACAAACATTTGGAAAAGTGCTGTGTTACAGACTGACTACAACGGTTCAGTTACTAACTAAAAATCATAGTCAAGGGTATCAGAACTATTATATTACTAAAGCAAACAAACACAATGTCAGCCATTAATTCAGATCTCTTGTATCACCTAACTTTGTAACTGCAGAAAAAGGAAAAATTAATGTATGTCATCTGATATTTATTATTAAAGGGGAGATGTCTATCAAAGCTCATTCTTAAATGTTCCTATAGATATCACTGAGCGTGTGCAAAAGGGGCTGGTGTTTTGCCTACCATAGCTCTCACTTCTCTCTGACAACATTCTCCATCTTATAAGCCATCTGCCTTTTCTATGAGCTCACATTCTATCTTCTAGGTTCCTCACAATTAGGACATTATACAAATACTTTCTTTCATAGGCAATCATATCTCAGCCTAATGAAAACTCCTCAATCTTGAAAAAAAAATCTTATGAGGACTTTGCAATTGCAGAATCTTGGTGACGTGACAAAAAATGTTGGAAACCATTGCTCTATACTGTGCAGAGAGAGAACGATACGCCTAAAATTGAGGACACTCAAAATCCAGTAAACTAAATGTGAAATATCTGAGACCAAAGAAGTGTCAAAACACATTTGTTTTGACAGCAAGCTCTAGACAAGGGAAAGATATCTACTTTCATTTGTGATTCTTTACCTACAGACACTTTCCTGATGTTAGATGCTTAATCAAAAGAGAAATTTCACTGCTGCACACATATATTAAAATAGACCACTTAAAAATTATCTTTGGGAAGAAAGGAAGCTTATTTTCATAATCATTGAAGTTTGAAACTGGTGAAAAGTTTTCCAAAATCAGGTAAGTATCATCTGAGCCATCCAGTCCATTAAGTCTTGAGGCCTGGGTCTCTCTTGCTCTCATTTTTACTTACTGAAGTTCTTCCACAGTATGCTAATATGGAGAAGAACTTACAACAAAATCTTAATGGCTAGGATATTCACAAGGGCTGAGGAGGAAACTAGCTAAAAACACACAAGCTTTTACATACATCCAAAATGCCTCATCCCAGCTGTCTTTTGTAAACATGTTTTGCAGACACCTACTCTATCAGGGCCTTTAGGTGAGGCAGAGCTTTTAGCCAGTTTGGGGGTGACAAGACTCTGTTTTGTGAATGCTTTTTAACAAAAGCTTGAGTGCTTATTGGACTAAAATGGCTGAGCAGCCATTGTAAGAGTTTCACTGCTGCATAGCTTGAATGAATTTAAACATATGTTTAAACTATGTCCTGGTTTCGGCCCTTTTTTTTTTTTCAGTTACAAAACAACATACTAGTAGAGAGATCACAGACTAGTTCTAGATAGTATCAGACAGATAAAAAGACAGTTTGATAAAGAATTAAATGTCAAACTCCATTTACCTTCACAGTGAGGAATGTCATTGCTCCATCCATCTGCCTGACAGTCACGGTAATTTCTTTGGCTGAGCATCTGGTATCTTACCAAATAAAAAGTAAACGATGCTAAAGTACAGTTTTGTTATATTATAGGAACAGCAGTGCTGCTGTTTTCGAAGCAAAGGAAGTAGGTTTCATATGTTCAAGCACCAACTAACCAAAACATGACAAAAATGAGTAGTTTTTTGGCCTGCCTCTTCCCTATTTATTTTAATTCCATATGGCAAATAAAAAAAAAAACAATGAGAAAGTAGGAAGTAATCAGTAAGATGGCTTCTGCATTACAGAGATAGCAAGCTTTAGTGACATAACAAATAACCTAGGGGTAATTTACACAATCAATAGCAAACAGAGTAAAACTCCTGTCACCTGGGCTCTACTATGACTGAAATCCATGTGACAGCATCAAAATAGCACTTAATCCGAACCATATGTATCTCAAGCTTTAATGAGCTAGTATTATCTTAGGTTTGAGGGCAACATGGCCACAATGCCGTAAGTTCTGTTTTGTCTGAAATGTAGTCAGAAGAAGTATAGCTAGTCTGAAATGACAGTGAAGAATTTAAGGGATTAAAAAGAATATTGATTTTGGAACTCTTTTTGTGGAACTCAGATCAGACTCCAGCAATACAAAGACTGCAAAAGCATGGTTGAACCACTGTACCATGCTTATAGCTGATTTGCATTTCAAGAGGAAAGCATCCAGTCACAGGCATACTTAACTAAACACAATACTATATGTTTGCCTTGCTGCAGTTTCATTGGAGAAGATGAATAGAGGAGGAAGAGAGAAGTAGTCGGTCAAGACATTTTAGTGAGTCTACCAGAAATGTCTTCCTTCCAACAATTTTTACAGTACATTTTACTTCATAATGCACAAAAATGATTTAAAAAGGAAGGATGAGTTGTGGTTCTGAACAGGAGATTCTGCTTAATGACTTCACTAACATAACTGCATCATGACTGCTTACTGAGAGCACTGATTCCAGCATAGAAAGCTGCATTTCCATCTGAACTGGCTGGCTGGCAGGGTCATGAGGCAGCTTTACAGATAGATCACTATTTTTGTTTTCTACTCAGACAGACGTGGTTTCAAGTAAGCTATATATTTTAGACACTTTGGATGACAGTTCCAGGTGCATGAGTTTAGTTACTCCAATAGCACTAGACATGAGAGTTATCTTTAGTATTACTGTAATTGCAGAAATTTAAATTAAACAATAACCAGGCATTAAATATTAATAAGTTGTAGCTGCATTACAGACAACAAATCTATAATTGACACTTTTTGCCATTAACATCTTTTGTTAACTCCCATATATTGAATTAAATAAGTATTACCCATGATTACATCTGTACTCAACTCTGGCACCAAATACAAATTCACTTCCACTGGTAAGTTCAAAGGAACCAAATTCAATATCTCCAGGATGTCCACATGGCTTATCTGGTTTAAAAAAAAAAAAAAAAGAAGAAAAATTGACTTACACCATACATGGGAATGTGAACGTGTGAAAGATGGCACTTTTCTAGTAATGAGCAGTGAGTATGGCCCTTTCAAAAACTCAAAAATGCTCACCGTTAGCTTGATTAACCCCTTCCTTTTTTAATCACTATCTTCAATGAGAACATACTGGAGTATGGATCTGCTGATATTTTAAAATTAAATAACAAATTAGCAGGTTTTATTCCTTTAAAAAGGCTGAGCTCGTATTAAGTTTTATGAGAAATTTAATGGCAGGATATAACTTCAGCTTTTCATACAACTTGTGACACAAACTGGTTCAAAGCTTCCACTACAGAATCCATCCATGATTGGAAATGAAATTTCCTCAGTCTGATGGGGATTGTGCTGAGTAAAGAGGGACGATCTAAGGCCACAGGAGTCTTTTGGTACTCAGTCCTTTCTGCTCAAAGTTACCCATGTGGCTTGACCTTAACTATTTGTCCTGGCTTCCCAAAAGAATTGCAAAGATGAACACACCACCCCTCTCATCCATCCACTTTCCATGTTATAATATGGACTGCAAAATAAACTGCATAGCTAAAACCCATTAGGCCCCCCTCAGAAGAAATCTTTCCTGGTCCCTGTTGACCTAGGCAATTTCATTTCTTGGAGTGTATAAACATCCTTGTTTTCTCCAAGGAAGAGGTGTTCGAGTAGGCCCTAAACATGCTCCAGTGTGATTCAGAGAAAATGGACAACTTCATGATCAATTTTGTTGTCTAGTGTGGCCTATCCTGAAAAGTGATCGTAATCTGTGGCAGACCATCCCTTTTCTCCTTCCACCTGCACCTTGCCAGTGTCAGTACCTATTCACAGGGTGGCTCTATTTACTAAAATATGTTGCTAAAAAGCAACACCAAATTTTGTATAATTTGAAAGATCCATGTTTACCGAGTAGTTATACAAATACATATAAAAACTGAGAAGGTGACTAAAGAAAAAATGTAAAAGAGACTAGTAACAACTTTATTAATTTTTACTCATGATTTGTATTCATCTCTGTTTGAAGGAACTTTGGGACTTAATTTTATATTATTAAATCAAATATTTATATTCTACTAGTAAAAATGTTGTATGTTAGATATGTAAGAATAAAAGCTTGTGTGTCTAAAATTTCTTTGTGTTTAAAACTAATTTATTAGCAAAAAGAAGTATCTGCTGACTAACAGTCATAAACTTCAATTTCTTCAACTAATGAATTCTGTATGATGGTGTGAAATACTTCTAAACTCTTAACACAGTATACTAGGGATAATAAATAGCAGCTCTCATTCTCATCATGAATTTTCCTTCATAGATTAAAAGAGAAGGCAGGGAAAAATAATTTCCCACTTCCAAGAAATTATATCCTTCATAGAACTAGTTGAATAAACTGAAAAGATGACAATACCGTCTCTTGACTCTCATTCAGAAGTGCTTTATTCTGCTTAGAATTTTATCTGCATTAGACTTTTTCTAAAATTTTGGAAGCAAGCTCCTAATAACTTAACAACTTAGCTTAATAACTTAACATAAATTGAGTTAGTCAGGCTGGTCTAGAGTAAGATCTCCTGTGAAGAAAAAAAATTATAATAATTTGATCTGGAGAAGAGGAACTTTCAAAAATGTTGCATCCCTTTTAGGATGATATTTTAAAGAATGCTGAAATAAGTAAATTACAGGTAAAGATACAATGGTAATTTCACATTGACATCACTGGCAAGGAACGTGACCTGTCACGTCAAATGTTTGCACATATTTTGCATAAATACTTACTTCTGCATTCTGCCGCCGGGAGGTGTTGCTTCCATGCTCCATCAGCACACTCAAACACAATTCGTCCAAGTTTTATATATCCAGGCCGACATCTGTATGTTACTTGAGTACCATGTGGATAGGGAGGTTTGTCCCATCTTTCAGTAGGCACTTCTTTAACCCTCCTAGGAGGAGGCTCTTTACAGGCTAAAAATTGTAAATAAAAATATTGGTGACTGAAGCAGATGGTACAAATGCAAAGTAATTTTACAATAGAAAATGTAGCAAGAAATCCTGGGGACATCTGTGATGTTTTCCACTTAATTATCACAAAATCGAAAACTGCCAAGAATCCATGTTTTGTAGGAATATGAATAGACATTTAGAAGGATACATAAGAATAGTCAAGCAGGTGCCAAGAAACTACACGTGACAGTCATAATTAATGAAATAGATTTTAGTTAAAGACTGACATGAGATTAATGCCCTGATTCTGACCACAGACATCTCTTACCCTTCCATCTGCAGGAGATCCTCCATGCCTGTCTTTCCATTACCACAGAGAACAGCTCTGTGCACTCTGTAGAGTTTCCTTTCAAACTACTTCCTTCTGCAGCCACCACCATCCTTACTGACATTAAGTTCATGTGTCATTTGATCAAGTTCTGTTAAAATCTCCCCTCACTTTTACATCGCCTAAACTTTCTCTCCTGATGTCAAGCTGAGATCACTTGGTAATCCAAAACTCATTTCCTCCTGTCTTACATTACTTCTTATGACAAGTTACTTATTACATGATGTAATTAATTCTGGGTATTCACTTTGACCTTTGTTAGCTTCAAAGCATTTTAACTCAATTTGGGGGGTGGATGGTGTTGTCTGATATTTCTCATTAGTTCAATATTACACAGTCCTTCCCCAAAACCTCCTTCCTGGGCCTTCTTCAGTGTCTGTGAAATGTACAGCCATGCCCATATGAATTACAAGAAATGAGCCTCAATTATTTTTATTAAGAAGTTCCTCAACAGGTTGAGAATGAGAAAAATCAGACTGAAGGGGAGACAAAAAAATGTTGGGAAGGTGTTAATGAAAGACTAAATGATCTTTGTTACGAAACTTTTTTTTTGGTTTTGTTTACAATAATTTACCTAATTTCAGTGACTAATTCTCTGAAGCTTTACCCAGACTAACACAGTCTGGACAGTCCAGCTAATTAGATGCAGTGAAGTCTGTTTTGCCTAGGAACATGAAAGGTAAGAATTCATCAAGAATAAATAAAACAATCTCTGAGAAATTAGGCCTTGGAAAAGAAATGAAACGTCTGTATAGAAAATAAATGGGAGAAGAAATGTCCACCAGGTAAGGAAATTTCTCGGTGTGTAGATTCATTACTCAGTAGCAGCTGGCACAAAAGTCCTCTCACCAGTTTAGTTGTAAGGCCACAGGTTTGAGAAAGAGCAATACTCCCACTGAAGCTTTCCTATGGATTGTCCAGGTGCTGCCTGAAAGTGGGATTAGAGGAAAAATACTTAGGCTCTTTCCTCATGTGAGGGATGTGGAGTTATGGCTTGCTGAACTAAACTGTGGAGACCACAGATTAAGTAGCTGTGATTTCTAATACAAAGTGAGCAGATTAAATACTCGTTCTTCCACATCAATGTGTGGAAAGTGAATTTTACTTCAGTTGTAAAGACATATCCTTGAGCACTCACTGCTTTAATTTCAGTCAGTGGAGTACCTATCAAATTAGAGCCATAATTTTAGAGTTTTTTTTAAAATTCAGGAAAATGTTTTGTTACACGAAGTATTCTGTAGCTATGTCATTTTGAAAATATACAGAAAATAATGTTAATTGTGAGATCTAACTCTATTTCGGCTGTCTTAAGTAGGCAGAAGAAACAGACAAGCTTTGACAGTACTGCTGAGGTGCTAAAGGAAGATTCATGTTTTATCTAACTATTTTAATAAGGATGCTTCTTTCTACTGATTACATCTGTGTGGAAATAAATCCTTCTGTCCACTAGTGGGTACTACGCTACTATCAAAGAAGGTAGTAGAGACTTCTTAGCAAGTTTAAGACACATTCACTTTTTAACAACGTTTTTGCAAAATGCAGGAATAAGTGAAATGAACAAGACTCCTCTAGCTAGTTCGGTCTTTCAAATGTGTTAAAAACGGTTAGTTTACCCAATAAGTTCTTTGTAATGGTGGGAAAAGGAATTTTTCTAATTTTGCATATTTTTCATTACAGCTTGTTAAAATTAGTGCTTTCAGTTTGCAAGCTGAGAAAGTACACTCCGAATTCTATGATTTAAAAAATAGGCTATTTATTACCAGGACAGCTCTGCTCTATCCCTCTTTTACTTCTGCATTGTATTATATTTTTATTGTCTGTTGTGTAGAATGGGGCCTCTTCACTCCTCCTTGTTTACATTTTTAAAAAAAAGCATGAAAGGTTATCTCCTGATAATCTCTTCATCAGTACTAAGATATGTTTCTTTCTGGGTTTTATTTCAGCGCTCTCTGATTGTTCTTTACCATTCCTGCCCAGATGTCAAACTATGTGTTATCATCAAGTGTCACAGTATGTATATGTATTTCTGACTACAATTAATTATTCTTTTTTTTAATGCAGTTTCTTAGTAGCCTGAGAAGAATAAATCTGCTGACGGAATATACTTCCAAATTATATTACCTACAACATGCACTCACAATGTGTACTCACCAAAATTGATAGGGTTTTATTCTTATATTAGAGGCATGCACTAAATGCATATACCTTCAAATCCTTTAGAGAGAGCAGGGGAGCTCAAATTGATCATTTAGTATTTATATGTGACTTGACCTCAGTTAGAGCTCAAGCTGTTTTCTTGCCATCATTATCCTGGTAGCAACTTCCATAAAGTCAAGCAGAAACTATGAATTCAGGTAGAAGTATTTTTCATCCCTTGTGCAAAAAAACAGCTCTTGAACAACTCACATAGACTTTCAATATGAAGCTTGAACTAAGAACCCTGCATGACTCATTGTAATAGTTGTCCCAGATAAATCAAATATTGCTACATTTACATTCCTTTGCAGTCTCTCTGATCTAAAGAAAGCATTGTGAAAAGGAAGTGCAAATTCAGGCAAAATTTCTTTTCAAATTCCAGGACTTTTCTGAACTTCTTTGCAAACAAATTAGACTTTATTAGTTGTTTTGGAGCTGTATTTATTATAAGTATATATATAAAGACATTTCTGCAACAGTCTATGTAAAGAAATCCAGAGAGAAAACAAAAGAAAGAACTAAAAATACATTAAACAATTTAAACATAATATGAAGAAAAATAAATTCAACAGAGGAGCAGATAATATCAGAGGCTTCTGAAAAGATACGCAGAGTACTAGCTACCTCTTTAAACACATACAAAAACATACCTGCGTACATTTATCTCATTTAATGGATTAAAACCAGTCTACCAGTCAACAGATATTGTAAGCTTTTCAGCCAATTTAGTAATCATTCCTCTTTCTCAAATTATCTCACAGATTATTCCAGACAGAAATACACATTTATTGAATAATTTTTATTTTAATCTAACAGCTGTTTACAGGTTTTAGATGTTAGAATAATTAACAAATATAATTAACAACACATGAGTTGTCTGGCTTTAGTTTATAGGGATACTACCATTAAAATAGTTGTGTAACATTAATAACAGCAGTAGTTATCCAAATAGGTGAAATGCCACCTATGACAGGATACTAAATACTAAAGGTGTTAAATACTGCCAGAAGAAATCTCAATTATTGTTGTCAGAAGTTCATTAAAATAGGCTACAATGCAAACATTTTCTTTACATATTGTTTTAGTTACCATCTTCACATACACTTTAAGAAAGGGGTGTTGGGTTTTTTTCCACATTAAAGCTTACCTCTTTCTGCAGTACAATACAGCCAACATAAGAGCAGAGCTGCATAGCCCAGGAACGACATCCTAGACATTCAGAAACTCAGCAAATACATCTAGTATCGTAGCCTACTTTTTTTGATTACTTTGTGTTATTTCCACTCCTATTTTACTCACTGCTCCAGGGATTGACCTTGCAAAGCATTTATACTCTGAGTTCAGTAGTCACTTCCCCTAATCCTATTGCAACACACAAGTGTTTGTTTTTTGTTTTTTGGGTTTTTTTTTCCCCTCTCTCCAAACTTTGCTAAACGAATAAATAAAAGTCTAGCAATTTTGGTTGACACAGACCTTCCCTGCGGTCTGTTTGTTTTTATATCATACCTCACTTTTTTCATATTAATCCTTTCCATACTCAGATAAGCTTATTTCTTTTGGTATCCAAAAGAAGTTGTACAAACAAATTATTTTGTGATTCCTTGTGTCTTATATACTTAGTTAAAAAACAGGAATTCACATTAAATAACGTGTAAAAATTAACTTCTCTATGTATATCAGTCAGGATCTATGTTGAAAACAATTAAAATAAAAAGCAGACAACAATACAAAGTTAATTACTAACCCACTGGTTCTTGTATAAGATAACCAACTAACCAGAGTAAAGGAAATGTAGTTGATCAAATACTTGATTAAATAAACCTAGGTGATGTTGAAGCACTTGTTTCAGTATCACATGAGAAATGATAAGATGGAGAAGGTGTGAATGAATTGCAAGATGAATAATGAACTATCCAAAGAAAAATAATAAAGATTCTGCTAAAAGAAGAACTACCTAGCAAACTGGGCTAACAGAAGAACTCCTCCATGGATTCATGTAAGCAATAATCTTTTTAATATTTTCATTAAATTTCTGGGTTTTATAAGAAGTGCACTCCAGTGGACGTGTGGCTCATATGAAGAGAAGTATTTGATACTGAGAATTAGGGAAAAAAATTAAGAGTATAAAGTGCTCTCGGGAGATGAACACAAAACAGCTGCTCACCAGATACCCCGTAATGGTGATGTCTGACTGACATGGAGTATACAAGATTGATCTTGTATATGCTCCCAAAAGACCACATAATATACCCTTAAAATCACTGGCTTAGGTACCTTACTGATACAGGATGAAAAATAGTGTGTTTAGAGAACAGATCTCAAATCAAACCTGAATTCCAAAGCAGCTAAAACTTTTTTGCTTCTCAAAATACAGATGGATTTTTTTTTTTTTTTTATTATTATTATTATTAACCTGGGCTGTGTTTTCAGTTACCAATTCTAAGGAATGGTCTTAGTGAAAACTGGCATTCAGCTGTTTCACCTACAAGAACTCATGCAGACAGCATAACATATCTTCCTTTCTCTCCCCTTTTCTCTTGCCAAGTGACTCTTTTATGGGGAATGAACTCTCACTCTGTTTCATGACCCTGTGATGATCAGTCTGCATCCATTTTGCACTTAATGGTGCTTACCCAACCCGTAAAAAAGATTTTTTTTTTGCACCTGTCCAAGTTGAGTTTTGAGAAACAGTTCCTCACAGAACTTCACTGCCCAAACCTTTAATTCCTTTTGTTCTGTGGTAGAGAACTGCGTGCTGCTGCAGACAGCAGTGCTCTACACCAAGACAGTCCCACTTGTCTTCTCTGCACCAACCTTCTTGCATAACCATATGTGCATGTATTTACATGCTTCTGTACCACTGGGTTGCTGGCTGCAAAAGCTAGTTTCCTTGCAGTGGTGAGGAACTTAGGATGGTTTAACCTTCCCTGTCACAGCAGTGGTACTAACTGCTTTTCAAATGTAGCAGTGACACTGCTGCTTTCCAATTCCTCAGCTACTGTGGGAAGATCAGAGAGCAGGAAAAACACTGAGGCAGAGTGCTAGGAGGCACTTGGATTCCAAGCCAGAGACAGTGGCTCAAACCAATTACCTGTAAAAATCCATGCTGCAGGCATGGGTTGTATAATTTCTCCAATTTTAAGTGTTGTATCTCCCGACGTCATGAAACTCAAAGTGGTTCAGGTTTTATCAAACTGCTTTTGGGTTATTAAACCACTTGCCAAATCATTATGGGCTTGAAACACAGTCAAAGATACTTTCAGCTACAGATAAAAGATAACATCAACACACAAGAGCAGAGAGGTATAAACTTTCTATGAATAAATTTAAGCCCAAGATTAGAAGACTCACCTAAGTAATACTTTGAAGTAATCTTTGTATAGGCATAATGTTGGTCTATACAAAAAAAACATCTTCAATCACAAAGCAGGGGACCAGACTCAGTCCTTTCCAGTCTTGTGTTTGTAATCTTATGTCATTGATTAAACTTACCCTAACCAAATGGAAATAAAATCAGGAACTTTCTTCCCTTCCTCACCACTTCTACCAGTTGATTCAAAACTAACACCTTTAATCATGTCCAACTTAGTCATTTCCAGCCTCTAAAAAAACAGAGTGCATAGGCAAACCATGCCTCAGGACTTCTAAGGTAGGCAGAAAAAGTCATCTCTAGAGTACCCCTACTTCCTATTGATAAGAAAGGCAGAAACATCTAAGAAGTTATGCAACCAAAGGCAGCTGGATTTTGCCCGTGGAAGCAGAGCTACTCTTTGACAACTGGTGTGACCACACTCAAATATTGCTGCGGGCACAGCCAGACAGCCAAAATATCACCATACAGTCACTGTACTAGCAAAACTGCATGTCAAGTTATAGGATCATAGGAAAGTTCAAGTTGGAAGGGACCTCGGGAAGTTATCTATCTTGTCCAAAACTCCTGCACAAACTAGAGTCAGTTATGAGGTCAGACCATGTTACTTAAGACTGTATTCATTCCTTACTCAATGTGGGGGCTTAACATTAAAATAGAGAGAGTTTGTTCAAACCTGAATAATTTTGAGAACAGTGTTTGGAAGCCATTTGTGTTAGGAAGGCAGATCTGAGGACATCAGTGTATTCCAGTAGGGAACTAGGGATGACTAGTAATAAGAGCTTAATTAGTCATTGTCGAAATAGCATCTCTGTCCACTATAATTGCAACATGTTCTAAGAGCATGCTTGTTGTCACACCTGAGTTTAATGATACCATTAGAGCCTGCAAAGTTCTAGAACCAGTCACTGTTTTGCCCAAAAATCTTCACGAAAGGGTTCTACCCCACTATATTAATAGTAAGATTATCATTTCATTGTCAACAGTTGTCTCTCCTCCCACTGGCAGACAACTTTGCCAAATCATAATGACATTACACATCATGTAATAGCTACAATTACAACCTGGTGTGACAGGGAAAAACTGCACAGTTCACTTAGTTTAAAACGAATCACAATCAAACTGGTTTACTGATTTATTAATAGCACATAGTTACTGGCAATTGGCGAAATATACATTCAGGTTCAGTATCAGCAATACAACAGGTAAGACTGTTAACAGACAAAATGCTAATAAACACCTAACAAATTTCTAAATGACCTTTCTTCACTAATCCCCCAAATTTCTAACCATGCACACAGATCTGTGCACCCACATACCCATGGTTATACACACAATCCCCCTCTCACACATATCTTCTTAATGGGTGCTTAATGTGTACCTGTGCTGTACTTTACAACCTGCTAATGCACACACTAGGGAGAAAGCACCACACAAGGTCGCACACCCAGTTGTGAGTCCCTACCTGTTGTACCCTGCACTGTCACTGCTCGAGCTGGATGCAGGCTGCTGGCAGAATCAGGTAGGGAGGGTGCTCTGCCTGGCCCAGAGAGAGGTTTGGTGCCAGTGAGTGAACCAAACAACAGTGTCAAACCCAACTCCTCTAGTTTTGACCGCTTGTCCTGTTCCCACTTTCTCCCTCCTGTTACAAAGTTGCATTTATCCCTTACATTTCTTTCCAAATTGGCACCTCCTTTGTTTCAAAACTGACTCTTAACTCCCTGGTTACTGTTTAATCTGGCTGATGGTCGGCAGCCTCTTTAACATGACCAGCTGTAGCATATGCACTCTCAAACAGTTTTGGATGCTTGAACTCACATTGCCATTTTAACAGCTGTTGCTGTTCAGGCCTTATGAAGGACGGGCCATGTGAGCACTCTTACAAACAGAAAAACAATATTAGGAATTCTCTGAATATACTTTCAGCTGCTTCTAACGCAAATTAGATCACAGCATGTGTTCAGGCAGGGTTTTGCAGCAATGACGGGAGACATATCATGTCCAATTCTGAAAGTAGTTTGTACCACACTTCTGATTACTCTTGTTTAAGTACCATCTCATTCTCCTGCCTTGGTGTTCTGTACTCAAAAGCAAAGTGAAAATTACTTGAAAAGGTGTTCTTTGCAAAAAAAAAAAAAAAAAGAAAAAAAGAAAAAAAAGAAAAAGATGCCCTCCTATAAAAAAACAGCTATCAGTATTAAACAAAGTCCTCCTACTCACAGCCAAGTGGAGATTTACCAGAAGGCAATTCAGAGGTTATCACCATTTCCCACCAGCTCTCTCCCCTGCTGCAGTGCTTCTATCCCTCTTGTTCCTACAGTTTCTTTCCAGGTCACCACAGGTGTCAGAGGGCTGTGGTGCACCAGGACCATGGGTAGCCCTGAAGTGGATGTTGTTCCTTTTTGGACCTGTGCTATGACAGTTTAGCACATAAGAATACAAAGAACAGGTCATATTGTGTGCCCTGGGTCTAAAACAGCTTTATAAGGATCACGCTTGCAGTACAGAGTCATGCTCACTGGGCTATGGAAAAAATGCCCTTTAGCTACCAAGATTTCAGTTTAATGAACATGACAAAAAACCCAAAAGCACCTCCATTTTTTTTTTTAATCCTTTCAGAAGAATTATCAAAATGGAAATTCCTCACATTTCTCCTTCTGCCCTAGCTTTGCAGCTTTACAGTGACCTTAAAACTCTGTTCTCACTTTGGGCTATTTCAGTCTGTTACTGTTTCTGAATCAGTATCAAACCTATCATGCCAGCAGAACAGTCTGCTGCTGCACAGGCATTTAAAAAATAGGCACCAAATGGAAAGATACGAGGACTCCGAGAACATTT